TCACCACATTCACACCTAGCTCCAGCAGACAAGAGTCCTTTGTCCCACCCTGGTCATTATTCCACAGATATATAAACCCTTTTTCCTAGTTCCAACAGACCTCACTCCCTCTGAGGATGCTTGCCATAGATGCAGGCGAAACGTCAGGAGGGAATGCCTCTAGAACATGGCCATATAACCCGGAAAAACCCACAACAACCCATAAAGATAGCACTCAGCCACAGAATAAACAAAAACGGATAGCAAATGCTACACTGTAGTCAAAGGGTCCAGTCCAGTGGTCAAACGCTGAGAGTTCAATAAACAAAGTCCAGGGATCAAAAGTCTATACCGTAGTCCAAAGCCAGCCCAAGATTCAACGTTCCAAGATTACAGGAGAGAGGTCAGGATACCGAAAATTCAACAGACCTTGGGGGGGGGGGGGGGGGGAACCAGCAGCATCCACCACCAAAATATGGCAATACTTTTCTCCCAAAGATCACTTCCAAGGCTCGCTCCTTACATCCAGAGACACCCAGCTGCAACCCATCTCTTGCATACCGTCACCCTTCATTGCTTTTACCCAGGAACTCTTACTTACAGATTACTCAACCCTTTAGAACTAAGACTTACATTATGTCAGAGTTCTGCAGAAGCTTGGAAGCTCTGAAGAAATCGACGCTTGAGACTTCAGTAGAAAACAGATATTTAGCTTTACTAAGCAGCTCAAAATAAACAGCAGACACCATCAGTAGACAGACAGGAACAAGAAGCAAACGACTAACACACTCACTGAAGCTATAAGGACTTATCTCTGTGTCCTCCCTACTCGCTCAAGGCAACGCTCAGGGTCACTAGGTTCTTGTGGGCTTTTCCGGGCTATATGGCCATGTTCTAGAGGCATTCTCTCCTGACGTTTCACCTGCATCTATGGCAAGCATCCTCAGACGTAGTGAGGTCTGTTGGAAATAGGAAAATGGGTTTATATATCTGTGGAATGGCTGGGGTGGGGCAAAGAGCTCTTCCCTGCTGCAGTTTGGTGTGAATGTTTCAACTGACCACCTTCATTAGCATTTGAAGGCCTGTCTGAGCCTGGGAAAAATCCCCTGTTAAGAGGTGTTAAGATGTGCCAGGTTGTTTCCTCTCTGCTGTTTGCTGTTGTAATTTTAGAGTTTTTTAATACTGGTAGCCAGATTTTGTTCATTTTCATGATCTCTTCCTTTCTGTTGAAATTGTCCACATGCTTCTTGTGGATTTCAGTAGCTTCTCTGTGTAGCTTGACATGGTGGTTGTTGGTGTGGTCCAGCATTTTTGTGTTCTCAAATCATATGCTGTGTCCAGGCTGGTTCATCAGGTGCTCTGCTATGGCTGACTTCTCTGGTTGAATCAGTCTGCAGTGCCTTTCATGTTCCTTGATGCGTGCTTGTGCAATGCTGCTGCGTTTGGTGGTTCCTCTGTAGACTTGTCCACAGCTGCATGGTATACAATGGTAGACTCCTGCAGAGGTGAGAGGATCCCTCTTGTCCTTTGCTGAACGGAGCATTGGTTGGATTTTCTTGGTGGGCCTGTAGATAGTATGTTGTGTTTCCTCATCAGCTTCCCTCTGCGGTCAGTGGTTCCCTTGATGTATGGCAAGAACACTTTTCCTCTGGGTGGATCTTCGTCTTGACTCTCGTGGCTTGTTCTCGGTCTTGCAGCTCTTCTGATGTCTGAGGTGGAGTCTCCATTGGCCTGGAAAGCCCAGTTGAGGTGGTTCAGTTCATCTTGGAGGAGGTGGGCTTCGCAGATTCTTTTTGCACGGTCTGCCAAGGCTTTGATGGTGCTTCTTTTTTGACTTGGGTGATGGTTGGAGTTTTTATGTAGATATCTATCTGTGTGTGTGGGTTTTCTGTAGACGGTGTGACCCAATTGTTGATCTGGTTTACGGATGACAAGGATATCTAGAAAAGGCAGTTTTCCTTCATTCTCTTCTTCCATGGTGAACTAGATGTTTGGGTGGATGCTGTTAAGATGTTCCAGGAACCTGTTGAGTTCTTCTTCTCCATGGCTCCAAATGGTGAAGGTGTCATCCACATATCTGAACCATATGTTTGGGTGGATGCTGTTGAGATGGTCCAGGAACCTGTTGAGTTCTTCTTCTCCATGGCTCCAAATGGTGAAGGTGTCATCCACATATCTGAACCATATGTTTGGGTGGATGCTGTGGAGATGGTCCAGGAACCTGTTGAGTTCTTCTTCTCCATGGCTCCAAATGGTGAAGGTGTCATCCACATATCTGAACCATATGTTTGGGTGGATGCTGTTAAGATGTTCCAGGAACCTGTTGAGTTCTTCTTCTCCATGGCTCCAAATGGTGAAGGTGCCATCCACATATCTGAACCATATGTTTGGGTGGATGCTGTTAAGATGTTCCAGGAACCTATTGAGTTCTTCTTCTCCATGGCTCCAAATGGTGAAGGTGTCATCCACATATCTGAACCATGTGTTTGGGTGGATGCTGTGGAGATGGTCCAGGAACCTGTTGAGTTCTTCTTCTCCATGGCTCCAAATGGTGAAGGTGTCATCCACATATCTGAACCATATGTTTGGGTGGATGCTGTGGAGATGGTCCAGGAACCTGTTGAGTTCTTCTTCTCCATGGCTCCAAATGGTGAAGGTGTCATCCACATATCTGAACCATATGTTTGGGTGGATGCTGTTGAGATGGTCCAGGAACCTGTTGAGTTCTTCTTCTCCATGGCTCCAAATGGTGGAGGTGTCATCCACATATCTGAACCATATGTTTGGGTGGATGCTGTTGAGATGGTCCAGGAACCTGTTGAGTTCTTCTTCTCCATGGCTCCAAATGGTGGAGGTGTCATCCACATATCTGAACCATATGTTTGGGTGGATGCTGTTGGGATGGTCCAGGAACCTGTTGAGTTCTTCTCCATGGCTCCAAATGGTGAAGGTGTCATCCACATCTCTGAACCATATGTTTGGGTGGATGCTGTTGAGATGGTCCAGGAACCTGTTGAGTTCTTCTTCTCCATGGCTCCAAATGGTGAAGGTGTCATCCACATATCTGAACCATATGTTTGGGTGGATGCTGTTGAGATGGTCCAGGAACCTGTTGAGTTCTTCTTCTCCATGGCTCCAAATGGTGAAGGTGTCATCCACATATCTGAACCATATGTTTGGGTGGATGCTGTTGAGATGGTCCAGGAACCTGTTGAGTTCTTCTTCTCCATGGCTCCAAATGGTGAAGGTGTCATCCACATCTCTGAACCATATGTTTGGGTGGATGCTGTTGAGATGTTCCAGGAACCTGTTGAGTTCTTCTTCTCCATGGCTCCAAATGGTGAAGGTGTCATCCACATCTATCTGAACCATATGTTTGGGTGGATGCTGTTGAGATGGTCCAGGAACCTGTTGAGTTCTTCTTCTCCATGGCTCCAAATGGTGAAGGTGTCATCCACATATCTGAACCATATGTTTGGGTGGATGCTGTTGAGATGGTCCAGGAACCTGTTGAGTTCTTCTTCTCCATGGCTCCAAATGGTGAAAAGTGTCATCCACATATCTGAACCATTGTTGGTGTTGTTCATTCGTTCAGTCGTCTCCGACTCTTCGTGATTCTTCTCCATGGCTCCAAATGGTGAAGGTGTCATCCACATATCTGAACCATATGTTTGGGTGGATGCTGTGGAGATGGTCCAGGAACCTGTTGAGTTCTTCTTCTCCATGGCTCCAAATGGTGAAGGTGTCACCCACATATCTGAACCATATGTTTGGGTGGATGCTGTTGAGATGGTCCAGGAACCTGTTGAGTTCTTCTTCTCCATGGCTCCAAATGGTGAAGGTGTCAACCACATATCTGAACCATATGTTTGGGTGGATGCTGTTCAGATGGTCCAGGAACCTGTTGAGTTCTTCTTCTCCATGGCTCCAAATGGTGAAGGTGTCATCCACATATCTGAACCATATCGTGGGCTTTTTGGTTGCTGTTTCCAGGGCTTGTTTTTCAAAGTGTTCCATGTAGAAGTTAGCTATGACCGGGTTGAGAGGGCTCCCCATAGCTACTCCATCTTTCTGTTCGTATAATTCATTGTCCCACTGAAAGTAACTGGTGGTGAGGCAATGGTGAAACAGAGCCGTGATGTCTTCTGGGAACCTCTGGTTGATGAGTGCCATGGTGTCTGCTACCGGGACCATGGTAAATAGAGATACCTCAGGGTCACATCTTCACAGCTTATTAACTCTACTGTTTAACCCTTTCTGTGTCAGAATACTCTCTGGCAATACAATTCTGTTACAATCACAGCAATTGTACATAAAATTACATTTAAACACACACTATACATAAATCTTACACTGACATTCCACTACCTTGGCAGCCACCATCAACTTCAGAACATATGACATCGCCAAAGGCACATCGAAAGAGCCAGGGTTTTAGGTCTTTCTTAAAAGCTGCCAGAGTAGGGGCTTGCCTAATCTCACCAGGCAGCGAGTTCCAGAGCCGAGGGGCCACAG